CAAGTCATCAGGACATAACTTTCCAAGCATGTAAAGCTTGCTGCTGGTGCTTCCAGCCCATTCATGATTCATTGAATTTGAAGTAAGATAATATTTATTACTTAGTTTATTCTCTTACAGTTTTAATCTGGTTTTGGTGTCACTGTATGAGATACTGCTATGTATAGTAATGAATTTTTTTGTAACTATAGGAGCTGAACTATGAAAGTTAGCAGTGCTCTAGGTCTCTTTCTGCCAGAATTCAACAACTCAGTTATTTAATTTTATACTTCCGTGTCAATTTTTAGCACAAAGCTGTGTGATAGAAGACCTTTGTTTTGCAAAAATTTGTGGTATTTAACAAATATCATACATACATAAAGTCAAATACATTCTCACAAATAATTACCAAAGTAGAAATACCTTTTACTATTTTTTGTACAATTACAAGAATAATATTTTTAACTACTCAGTTTTTTGTTAATGTAGATTTATGGGCTCCTCAGGCTTGACAGTAATTTCTCTTTGCAAAGCACAGTTTAGATTTCTAAGTATTTGTTAGTGTGTTATTTCAGGTACAGTTACGTAGATCTTGGCAGATGTCACTTAAATGAATGCATATATAGTGCTATAGATCTTTTTTTCATCATAGGCATTCTACAGTTTAGCTTTTTTCAGCACTCCTATTGAATGCAAAGGCAGTTACGTAACCATAAGAAGCTGGAGATTCTCAGCTGAATTGGCTAACAGGAAGTGGCAAAAATAGGAAACTATAAACTGTGTTTCAGATCAAATTCAGACTGAAAAGTATTTACAAGATATTTAATACTGCTCGTTTGTTTTATAATTGTGCATTTCTGTCAGGATAATGAAACAGTTCTGATCCATCTGCCTCAGTGGTTGAAAGATTCAGGATAATTCACAAACTGCCTTCTCTCCCACATGATGATAAACTTTCTGGCATTTGATGGCACTTTCCAGAGCTTATTTGCTCTTTCTGTCACAGCTAGTGTTCTGCATCAGGATTGTCTTTTTAATAAGTATATTTTTATTATTTAATTTTGCCTGAGATTTTTTTCATCTGGATATTTTTAAGATGAGTAAGGATTTTGAAGATTGGATTTCTAAATGTTGAGCTGCTTGATGGAATTGTAACTTTCATAACTGATGAATAATGCATTGCCACACAAGTGTTTCAACAAACTTTCTTTCAAAATGGTATAGAAATTGTTCCTTAGTAGCAATAAAAGTACAATGTGTAATGACTGTGTGATTATTTTCTTCTTAATGAAGTAAGGCATTCTTATTCTCACTTTCAGGAAGCACAGGCTTACGCAGATGACAACAGCTTATTGTTCATGGAGACATCTGCCAAAACATCTATGAACGTAAATGAAATATTCATGGCAATTGGTGAGTTTATGAACAATCTGTGGATTAAAGGGAATTGTTTTCATGCTTTTTATACCATCACAATATTCCTAACCCAAGGTCTTTGTTTCTCACCCAAATTACTTCTGGCACTGAAGTTTCCTTAGGCCCTTTCATATCCTTTTTGATGTTTAGAAGTGTGAACATCTTCAACTTAGTTGAAGTACTGTTGCACAGCTATTTTGTGAAGCACAAAACCACTTGGATTGGCTAAGATAGGTTACTTCTGAATTCTGTCAGCAAGTTCTATATGCCTATTTTGATTTCATTATGAAAACTTGTACTGCTTCAAGTTCAAAGCTAAATCAAGCTTTAGATGTTGTATACAGAAGCCACCTTTCCCATGGTATAGGTAAGCTGTGTAAAGCTATTTGTTTTTTTTAATTGTAAGATGTACTTGGCATTTGTTAAATTAATGTAAGAATATAAGTGAAAGTGTATAAATGTGTGCCTTTGATACGCTGTTTGCAGCAGATTCTGCATGGCTTGGGATGGATACAGAATCTAGAATAATGTATCTTTTATGAGACAGTGGTAATTGAAGCTGGAAACATTTCAAAATGAGAGAATGATAATGGACTTGTTTTAAAAAAAAAAAAGTCAAGTACTCATTTTGGTCTAAACAAAATATTTGCAAAATATACTTTTGTGTTAAAATTTTGTTTGAATTCCAAATGCAGCTACCTGAAATCCAGAAGTTGTACCAAAGACAATAATGTGTGCTTAAATTTGATGTCCGAGTAAAGGACACTGCATATGAAAATTGAAGTTACTAGTATACTTCTAGCCTTAACATAATCTTAGGGATTTCTGTAAAGATGCTAACATGTCATAGTAAGTATAAATTGTCAAGAAATTACGTGTATTCCATTGAAAGACATGAAATTGGAATTTACTGCTAATAAAATTTTCTAAGTGGAGGAAAAAGAAAGCATACGTTTTTAGGCTTGTCACCAACCTATTTAATAATATTCTTAATCACAGTAATGGCTCTGCTACCGGGGAATAGCAATATGTAGAGTTAAATAACCTTATTAAATCTGTCCTGTATTTTGCACCACTGTGACCTCTGTATTCTACTTCTTTTTCTGAAAAACAGCATTGATCTCAAAATTTAATGTTTTTAAAGAGCACTTATCTTCTACTTTCCAGGGCAGTAAAGCAGAAGGTAATTTGTGGTGTGGTTCAAACTTCCAGCAGATACAAATTAAATTATTGCTTTAGCAACACTTTATAACAAGTACTTCATATTAACTATAAATACTGGGGAGGAGAAGACATACCTGTGTGAGTGGAAAGTATATTTTTCTCGTAAGGGCTCAAGATAGGCCTGCTCAATTACATTGTTCTGGTGAAATTTTAAAATGAAGTTCTTTAAGGGTGCACTTTGCATCTTGGTTTGTTTAAAAAAAAAAAAAATACAGTAAAATTAATCCCTAAAATCTGATTTTTTTTTTTTTTTTTATTTGTTGTATCAGCAGTAATTCTTACCTCCCCATATTTTAATGAAGTATGCAAAGTAAATTTGAGAAAGCAATACCTAATTAGTGCCTGGGTCTTTTGTCTGCAAGGTTAGTTGTCCATGTGAGTATTCTTTCACATCAGTGGGTGAAATTCAGATTGTTAGTGCATCAGAACAAGATCTGTGCAGTAGTGGGCCCCTCTTATTGAGGATATAAGTATTGCATGAAACTTGGAAATTGCCTTTTGAAAACATGGATGCAGTTCTCAGGACCATGTGTAAATATGATCTTCAAAAATGGGAGAAAAATGAAAAAGAACATGGATAGAATTGGAGGGATACATGCTACGGTTGCTTGTAAATAGCCCTCTTTAGAACTCATTCATAACTTAATTAATCTTAATTTACAGTTCTAGAATCAAAAAAGACAGTGCTATGATGGCATTTTTCTACCGGTGCTTTGTCCCTTTCTACTGTCAGCAGCTTAGTATCACTTGAACTCTTGGGGTCTGTCACAAAATTGTAGAACAGCCCTAAGTGTGTACTGTGTTGGTTATCTGGCTGTTACACTTGAGTTTTATTCCTTTTAGGAAAAGGTGTTCTTTAACAAGCTGGCCAAAGAAATTTGGAGTTGAAGCATGCAGCCAGGCTGTAGATCAGGCATGGTTGTTGGGTCTCAGTAGCATGGATGGGACAGCCCCATGGAAGTCCTTTATGTGGAACTTAGAAATTCTCTGGTGGAGAGAAAGCTAGGAAGAGCTACTGCTCAGAAGGGTAATGTTTGTCACCCTATTTTTCGTGTCAGGACTGAGGGGGGTATCCTGGAGCTACAAGGGCAACAAAGAAATTATCAGTCAATTGACTCGTAAGAGCTGAAGAAAGACAGCTTGAAAAAGGCAGAGACTTGATCTAGTGCTGAGGGCCATTTTAAATGCAAATATTTATTCTGGCTAGAGAGTTGGGCAGTAGCTTGACCCATTTCTGTCTGTCTGCATTTTGTGCATTTTTAGTCTTGTCTCTTTAGCACTAGTGTCCTGATCTTAAAGACTATGTAGGTGGATTCCCACAAGAGCCATCGTTTACTGGCATAGCATACCTGAACAGATACACTTTACTGCTCAAGTTACTAATGCATTTCACTTGAAAATCATATATAAGGTAGTTAATCATTAAGAAGGTGTCATCTATCCTTACCAATACAGTGAATCAAACAAGATTTCATAGTGATTATATTGATATGGTTACAGAGTAATAAAGTGTTGACTGTGTACTCAGGTGACTTAATCCAATTTTAACTCTCCTTGTTTTGTTGATTTCATAGCAAAAAAACTGCCCAAGAGTGAACCACAGAATGCAGGAACCAATTCTGCCAGAGGAAGAGGAGTAGACCTTACTGAACCCACGCAACAGCCCAAGAGTCAATGTTGTAGTAACTAAAACACAATTGCTTTAAACTGTTCTGAATATTCTTCTGCTTCCTAACTGTTAATAACCATGGAATTGGAGTGCTTAACCTGGCCCAGTACAGCTTCCAAACAGCGAAGAGACTTATGGTAATAGTCAAGTTCATGATACAGGGTTTTCTTTTGACCTAAATTTTTAACATGCATGTATCCACCACTGGCTGTAACGTTTCAGCAGCAGAGGAGAGAAGGAAGTGGAATAAACTTCCTTCAGTTGAAAGGTTTTAAAAATCACTTAGGGGTGTAGAAGAACTACTCTCCGTGGACCTGATTAGCCAGTTCCTTTAGCCTCAATACTGATTACTGTTATAACAAATAGAATTGGGACTTTTCATGATTCTGAATTGTGCTTTAAAACCTTTTTAGAAACAGAGTTTAAAAAATTACTTAAACTTATTCACAGTATTCATGCAACCAGTTGTTTCTGCAGGTATCCACTGTTCAGTTATACATTCCATAGTTTAATAATTTAATTACAAATAATACTTGCATTAACAATTTTAAGAACCCTATGCTTGCAGGAAAGTGGAGTTTTAGTTGGTACACTGTATGTAAATTATATCAGTCCAGTTAGTTATCTAAAGGAATTAGCGATAAATCAAGTTTAACTTCATTTCTAATCTATTCAGAGGGTACAGACCAGTCAATTCAACTTTGACTTAGGATTTATTTTTATTTTTTTTTCCCTCTACAAACTGTTAAGAGCTCTTCAAGTAAAACCACAACAAACTTGGTGTCTGTGACTTCTTTCTTGGTTTCGATCCCTTGGTCAAACCTTGATTTCTTGGTTTTGGCTATTACAGTTTATTTTTCCCCTAAGGAAAAAAATAGTGCACTAATGATTATGTACATCCAACTTGATTTTAAATTTGGATATTAATGTACTGTAAATAGGTACTCTGCATTGTAGTCTACATTTGTTTAATACTTTCTGTAATATTTAAGAGTTGCTTAAAGGTATACAGAATGTACAGTTACTTAAAGCTAACTTTTTTCCTCTCTAATCAAAGGGGGTTCTAAGTTCTTCCTTTATGGCTAGAACAGTAATAAATGATGCTCCTGTATCTGTAACATAAGTACTGCTGTCTGTCAGTAATGAACTTTGCAACTTTGTTTTCCAAAGTACATTTTATTTTGATCTGTCCAGTATATTGCACTAATTCTTTTAGTTATTTTCATTATATGAAATCTACCAAGTGTGTCAGAAGAGATGAATTAGTCTATTTAAATGTTGAACTGATAGCAGAAGCTTACTTGTGCAGATTTTAAATTTGCAGTAATCTGGGTTTAGCAAGGAAAATGGCAGTTCACCAGTGTTTAGTTTTATATTGAGGTGCTCAGGTTTGAATAAAATGGTTTAAAAAAAGAGGTTTTTGATTACTGTTTCTTACTGAGAATTTCAGAAGGTTTTATTGCATTTGCACAGTTCCAGACGAGGTGTCTGATTTACTATGTGGGTCAGCATTTAAGATGATTGCAAGTAAATTCATGACACAGATAAATAAAAGCTTGTACCTATATATATACTGTGGCACTCCAGTTATCCTATGATTATTTTTTAAGTGCTGAGGTAATTGGGTATCTTATCACACCCATTTAGAACTACCATCAAAATAGTAATATACATTGAACCTGCAGCTACTGCACTCTTTACCAGTTGGTCACTGACGTAGCTTCCTGCATTGTCATAGAGTGTCTCAGAGGTGCCTCTTCCTGCAGTTCGTGATTCGCAATTAGGCAGGTGTGTGTTTGTGTCCTCTTCAAACTGTGGTGGTGGTCTAGAACCCACTGATGATACGGTCATTAGCAGCTTTGGCCTTGCAGGTTTGTCACAAAATGTCTTGGAGTCCATTTTTTCTGCCAGTTGTGGACCTGAGTCATAATTAGATAGGTGTGCTTTTGTATCCCTGGGGGGCTGGTTGATGTCTTTAGACCCTATTGCCAGTATGTTCTCTTGCAGCTGTTTATGGGTGCAACTTTGAGCTGTTGCACAAAAAGCATTGGTGTCTGTTTCTTGCTCTGCAGCCTGTGACTGTGGCTAAAAACTGTTACATAGATGAACTTCTCTGTCCTCAAACTGTTTCAGTTCTTCAGAACCACTTTGTGCTCTAGAATCTGGCTGCTTTATATCTCTGTTCCATGAATTTACTTCATTCTTACTGAAAAGAGACAGTTCTGGATCAGGTTGTCTTTTTCTTTTTTTTTTTGTGGTCATCAGTTTCCTAAGAAATTTCACTTTGCAAATAGTTCCTTCTAAAATGTGAGTGTGTGCTTTCAAAATACTATGGCTGAATGAACTAATCGAGAGTTTTGGATTCAAAGCTGTATATAGCAGTGTAAAATTTTTAGTACCTGAAAATTATTTGGACATCGTGTAGAATTTACAGTTTACTAACATGATGCCTTAAGCCTTTTCCCCAGTTAAGGGACACAAAGGAGCAAGAGTTCTCATGGTCATAAGAAGCCAAGGACTAACTTCTTTCCTTTAGTAGGGATAGGTACTTTAGCTTTCCATCGACACTGTTGAAATCTGCAGGATGAGAATGAAAAGTCTTAGAAATTGTATTGCTGCAGGTGACTAGTCTTGTCAAACTTCAGTGCAAAGCATAAAGGAAAGCAGCTCTGAAACAAAGTGCTGTATTGTTTGACATCCTCTATGGCTATGCTGGGAGATCATTTTTGCTTTAGAGGAGGTTACTGATCTGCTCCCATGTGTTGGCATAAGGACAAAAGTGATGTCTTACAGGAGGAACTTGAGTGGGATGGCAGATTTCCAGACACTAAGCTGGCTTCAGTGTGTTCATTTATATTGTATTTTAATACCATCTGGCTAGACTAGGGCACAGATCTCTTGAAAAGTATTTATAAGTAGGCACTGCTTATACAGTAGTTATATTTCTTGGGCAGTATTGGCATTGTCTTATGTAAGAGAATGCTAAATGTAGTCTGCGAAGGCAGATTTCTCTGGGAGGTAATTGAGAATATCAAAATGGAGAACACACCTTTTTCAGTAATTATAGAGTGTAGATGCCTTAAGTTATACTATGTGAATGTTTCCTTGTGCTTACTCTCTCTTTCCTCTGATTTTTTTTGTGGAGAGCTAGGAGAGTGTCTAAAATTTCCTTTGAACCCTTGGAGTAAGACCACCAGCTATAAACCTGACAAAGGGCATAATATAACCCATGTGGAACAATTTCTATAAGGAAGAGTAAAATCTAAATGCTTTTGGATGCAAGTCTCTTTTCTGCAAACCAGAGACAGGGCAAAAGAATTGACAAAACTTAGCTGACCTGTCAATGTGGGACTAAATGAAGAAGACAAAGTTGGCCAATGCCACCATCTCCTGCTCTGCCTATCTGACCATTCTTTTCAGTTGCTTACCCGGTGCTGAAGGAACATGGTTATACTTCTGTAAAAAAAAAAAACATTCCTGAGGGGTGGGAAAATGGAGCTTGATGTTGTATAATTTTTCTTTGATGTAATAACAGTTGGAAAATTAAGTGTATTAGATCAAATAAATGTGTATTTAGCAGTGGTTCAAAAATGTGGACTTTAATCATAAAATGTTTAAAGTATCTCTTATCAACTGCAAGCCTTAACTCATTAGCAGAGATTGAGTTTATGATATCTTTTATTGCAACCAGCATAAAAACTTTATCTGGGAGGGAAGGATGGAAGCTGGTAACTAGAACCAGAAAACTCTGGGTGAATTCTTTACCAAATTTTCTTACCTTTATCATGCCTTTCAAGCTCGTTGTAATAAAATCAGGTTGCTTCCCCAATAAGATGAAAACATGTGTCTGAAAACATTCCCACTTTTTATATGACAATATTATATTCCATTAAAGGTGTGACTGCATATCCTGAAAGAGTACCTGAGCTAGTGCTAAACCACCAGTTTTGGTACCCGCAGTGAAGTTCAGGTAGCTGCAAAATTGGTTGTTTGAGGTAGAAACAGAATGATCATAGCAACAAGCACTGGGACAAGGGAGAGTAAGGGGGAGCGGGGACAAACCAGTTAGGTGGTTCAGGGTCAGTGCACATTCAAGCTGGTTTCTAGTGTTTCTCACACCGGCAGAGGGTTGCATGTTATTGTTATTAAAATACACTTTCTTCTGGAATAAGTTTTTCCAAATATGGAATATGATTATTTTTTGCCTCATGAAAAAAAAATGAAGCCTCTCAAATGGTTTTCACTTTCCCCACTGATTTTTGACCCTCTTAATTTCAGTCAAATTCATATGAAGAAATGTGAAGTCTTTCAGGTTTTGTGAATACACTCACCTGAGAAGGGAGTGCCCTGCTGCAGTATTAGCACGCTCCTTAATAACGCTTGGGGGGATGTGATAGAAAAGTATTACAGTGCTGGGCATGTGTTTCAGCAGAGACTGGAAGATGCTACAGAATGTAACTACAGTTAAAATACAAAACCATTTGAAACTATTCACCAGCTTTTAATATATATATAAATACATATATATTCTGTATAAACTATATAAATATATTTATATATTAATATATTATATAGAATATTAATATATATAAAAATATTCTGCTTCTATACTCCTTTATGGAATAGCAAGCATTTTGCTTGTAATCTTACAGCTGTCTAATGTACACAAGATAACTGGTAACAAAAATCACCAAATGGGAAGATATAATGACTAGGGTTGCTAAGAACTGCAAGAGCTTTATCTACTGTTGCCTGCAGCAGGGCTGGGTGGAGAAGCAGTATCAGTGTTTCTGATTGTAATTAATAACTGATTTTCCACACTATAGAAGGGCAAAGCAGAGTTGTACGTCATATGGAAATAGGTCTTTGTTGAGAACAGTAAATAATAACCAATTCCTATTTCAGAAATTGGCAGTTGAGAACATCCCCACAGATCATGCTTCCTTTTTGCTGGTAGCAAAATGTAGTGGCACTTAGTCTCATGAAATAAATGAATAAACATAATATTTTAAGCATGTTTCATTGACACGAGATTTATCAGATCTAAAATAATCTGATTTCTGATAACTGTCTTTCATGTTAGTAAATTGACTTTACTGCTAAACTCATTTACTGAGGCTACTCATCTAATAAGCTTAAAACTTACTGTCTGATACCAATATCAGTTGCAAGGGAATTTGTCATGTCTCCTTCACATTGTCAAGTTAAAGCATTTGCTCCTTTTTATCTCCAGCTATCTACTGCCAGCGAATCTTGGTCTTATTTTTTCTCCTGTTATTTGGTGGAGGAAAAAAAAATCCTGGTGTGGAATGTACGTATCTTTCAGCTATGGGCCATAAACCCGCAACACCTTTGGCTGTCCTGGCTAATGGGCTGTGTGTTGTTTTCGAAGTGTCTTCTTTCTTTTTCCTCAGTGCCATCTGTCTCTTTGCTGGGGATTCCTTCTGCCAAGCAGGTAACTGCTGAACAGCCACTACAGGGAACTTTGGAAACCTCATTCGTTCCCAGTGGTAAAAGCCTATGCCTTCTCCAGAAGGGCTTGGCATACGCTTTGTGGATCCATTCGTAAGTATGGGTCTCATCGTTGTCTGGTTTATCAGAGAAAAATCTCTTTCTCTCTGTAAGCTGCCCTGATCAGTGTGGCACAAGAATCTAGAACTCGCCGTTTATCCTTTCATAGGAGGAAGCCACTGGGGAAAGCTGGTCAAGAAATAAAAGTTGAAGCTTTGCTGCAACTGTTTGCAGCAGCCACACCATGAAAGCCATCAACTAACCCCCCAAAACATCTGACCTATTTCCATAGTTGTCAAGCACAACAAACCTGTCTTCCTTGTCTCCCTGTCATGCGGAGTTTCTGTCTTAGCAAATTGATAATGCATTTATTAAAGAATTATTTATTTTCTTAAAAGTACTAGGATTGTTAATACTAGCAAGATCACAATATGATGTGGGAGTGTGGTTATCCGTAAAGAATTCAAATGAATTCTGCTTAATGTGTCTCAATATGTAAGAATCTGGGTCAATTTTGAAATTAGTTTGTGTCTCTAAGCCAAAAGATTTTTGTTGTCAGTCTTCGAGGGCTATCAAAGCCTAGTAAAATTAGGGCTTTGTAGGTTCTTTTATGATAAAGAAGGTGGTATGGGATGTATAGTTTGCTGATATGGAGAGCAAGAAACCTAAATGTGCTTGGAATCATTCTCATATGTAATTGTGACCTTCTCCAGGTCATCTTCCTCATCTCCAGAGAGTTCAAAATCAGGTGGGTTTGTTTTGTCCTGAGATTTTTACTCCCTTGTTATTCTATAGAGGAGTTGAATATGTGAAGAGTTCTCATATTTTCACATTTTGAATATTTTATTATTGGGTCATACTATGCTACCTAAGCTTTTTCTCACTCTTATAAAGTCTGAATTACATCATTGCATACTAATGCATATGTAGTCAAGAAACTGGGAAATGTGAGATTATAAAAAAAATAGTAACTAACAACTATGTTAAAAATCAGTAAATTCAAGAAGTGAAAATTTTGGAAATACGAAGTTCACAACAATTTAGATTATTCTTGTACCTAATAAGGTTTCAGTCATTTCCTCCTTGTGATTCAGTACATACCCCTATGCATTCACACTTAGAACTGTGAATACAATATAATTCCTTATCACCTTTTCTGTGTCTACTTACCACTTTCCAGACACGGTAAAGGGTAAACCCTGCCTGGGAGGGAAAAGAAAAAAAAAAAGCATATTCAAGATTAAGATTAAAAAAAAAAGTACCAATTTTGCATGGAAAATATGAGATGGGGCCAGAAGCATTGGTATATCTCTTTAATCAAATCACACTCTGATTGCCATTGGTTTTAGTGGTGAGCTTTTTAGGAGTCGGTTGGAAAAAACCCTGTTTTATACCATTGTATTTAGACACACAGAAGATAAATTACATTTATGTGGACAATTTTCTATTGTTTTTCTTGCAAGAGATAGATTTCTCAATGTTCGTGTTCGTTTAATGTAGGGTGGATTTTGAATGTGTCAGTTTCTCAATCAAGAAAGCATAATGAAGAACAAAAGTATTATCAAATGGGCCAAGTGTTTGACCTTTTTAGGTCTGTGGGAAACACCCCTGCTCCTTGAACTGTGAGACCTGCGAGTAGCAGCATGCTCCCTCTGTGTTCTCCAGCCATCAGGATGGAAGGAGAGACATGCTTTACAGCACAGCTCACTGAAGACCAGTGCAGTTGAAAACATGGAATCAAGGCCAGATACTGCCAAGGCCATCATAGGGTCTCCTCAATGCAAACCTCTCTTCCCCTTCTCCAGCCAAAGCTGGTATCCTCCACCTGTTCCCATGCACCTCCTTCCTCCTGCTTTAGCTCCTTGCTCCCGTTTCCCTTTCCTCCCCAGCTCAGCCTCTCCTCACTTTAATTCCTCGATGCTGTGTTACTGTTCTTGGGTCTGGCACCTGGTGCTACAAAGCCAAGAGTCAGAACTACAGAGCAAGTCCTGGCAAGGCACTCTCTGACAGGCCTGCTGGTGCAGAGGGGGCTGCCTGCATTCAGCACCTACACGCTGGCATGTCTCCGCTCAGCACTGGGAAACTGATGCTGCTTTTTAACTATGCTCTGATTTGGATACATTTACAATGATAAAAGGTGCACTACTGATGCTGGCTCAGCCAGATCTCCAAGCCCTAGCTGAAAACATGTCGTTCTTGGAGAGATTCTCTATAGAATAGCTACTAGCATTTTGGTTTAATACATACAAAACAACATACTTTCTAATAATAGAAACAGCTAAAACATACTGCCTGGAATTTTTACAAGTTATTCTGCTTCAGGCTCAGAAAATTTCTGTGTGAGCAGTTAATATCTGCAGAGTTATAAGTTACTGAAAACGTGAGGCACTCCTATTTGTAGACAGCACTGATAATTCTACCTGTAGTTTGAAATGGAGAAGAAACCTTGTAAACATCAATGTTGCTAAGGCAGCAGATTAAATTGATTGATAGTTTGAATGGCTGCTCTGTCCTATAATATGATGTACAGCTAAACCTTAACAGATGCTTGCACAACATCCTCTTCCCCCTAGATCATCAGCACATGACACGCGTACAGGCACTATAATGACACAAAATCCTGACACCGTATGAGAAGCTCTGCTTGCTAGCCAATACATCATCTCTCTACTGAGTGTGAAAATACATTGTTTTTATTTAAGTTCACTATGTTTATTTCAGTGTTTAGTATTTATGTGCCTATGGATGAGAAATATCAGACAAAAATGCATATATTATAGGTTTTTATCATACTCTGTATTCAGAGATTTCTGACTTCAGATTAATCTTTAACTGCTGTTAATCCAGCACCAGAGCAAATGGTAGTGGTTTAGCCGCAGTACTATCCCACAGCCACATTGCAAGAGTAGCCTTTGGTAATTTCATCCTGCTTCAAACTCACCCTTTTTCTGGGGCTCTCTCTCTACACTCGATACTTAAAGTAACTATTTTGCAACTGTTTTCTGTTACAGGGTTTCGTCTGGGAAGTGTATTTTCTTCTCTGGCACCACTTCTGTTCATCAGCTGTGGATTATGAGCATTTGGGTTTGAATGCACGCTCTTTTTACCCGTGATGACAATTGTTTGACAAAATTCTGCCAAAGACAAAGCCCCAACCTCCTCCAGCCCCAATTAATGTGTCTTAAAGAACAGGCTGCCTCCAATCAATTATAATTATAGATCAATTATAAATTTTTAAGAAGAAAATCTCTTCTGCAGAGGATACCTACTGCAGTATTAGCAGAGTCACTTAAAACCCCCTTATGATGCTGTAACATGCCTTGTCCTTGCAGAGCTGAGCTGGCAGGTGGCTGCAGCTCTCAAATCCGCTGTAGGACCAGTTTCTGGGAAAGTTCATACCTCCACAAGAGGTGAGCATGGGTCTCTTCTAGAAATGCTGCAACACTTCAATGGAGCAAGATAAGGTGGTACATGATTTAAAAAAACAGCAAAAATATGTTTGCATAGGTCCCTTCTTTATTCTACATAGTTTGAGAATGGGAGATGGCACGAATGTTTTCACTGTTGTCATTGTGATGGTGCATTCAGGCCTGAGAATAGTTAGGACTAATACACACATAAAATCTGGGAAAGTGGTTTTTTTTTCAGTCAGCCTTTTACCTATTAACCCATTTTAAACCCTCCTTGGATTAGAGGCAGGAAATTGAAACTTTCGATAAAAAGTTAGTTGATTTCAGTAAACTTAATCCTTTACACTCGCATACCTTATAGATGTTTATATCTCTTAAGTGGGTGTAAGTGCTCACAAATCACAATTTCACAGCACCAAAACAGTCCTACTTACTTACAAGGTGTAAATAACCAGGATAATATACATAATAATTAATGTAGAAGAACAAGATATACTACAACTCTTCATTGCAATCATTTTGCTTACATTTATTAAAAGGGCAGCCCTGATACTAATTTTTTATAGTATGTACACATTGTTATATTAATCACTGAAAGCCTTGTAAAAAATAAAACATTTCCCTTGTTGATCTCTTACAAAGCAGAAGGATTGTTCTGTATTTCCTTCTCTCCTTGCATTTCCCTCATAAGGAACAGATAAGAGACTTGCAAGCTTTTCGCTGTCAGGTTAGAGGATACAGTGAGATAATGACAGCAGAATACATGAAGCTAAAGCTCTCTCAGCCTCAGAGAGCTAAGAAAATTCAGCTTTCTAGCTCACTGCAGTTTCTCTGTGCCTATTTAGGGAGCCAAAACCCAACACTGTGTAATGTTCTGAGCTGAAAATAGAAGCAGATCAAAAAAATTAGAAGATGTAGAAGAATAGGGAGCGAACCACAGTTTGAGACTGTGTATGTTTTCAAGGAGGGATACATCATATTTACTCTTTGTGTCACAACAAAGAGCCTCTTGGTAAGTTCTTTGTCCTGCTCCTAGGAAAGGGAGGCTGCTCTGCCTCTGCTGTACACTGCCCTGTCTGTAAAAGGGGCAAAGCATGATGCTGCAGACCACGGGTTCATATGGCAGAGGATACCATCACTCCAGTAAGCCTTTTGCAGTTTGACACTACAATCTCGTTTTTTAATTAGCAAAGGTGCCACTGAGCTTTGAGGATGCAGGGTCTGATTTGTATCCAAACAGAAGAGTCCCTTATGCAGTCATCTATCTTCCTCTGACACATGTTGTTTCTGTCTCCACCCAGAGCATGCTTCTTCTTCACTTACAGTTGTCACAGTCAGCACTTAACTTACACAGTCTCTCATCCTGAACTCCTTCCTCTGTGAGATCTGGTATTATTATTGCTTATTATTTGCTACATACTTGTGGTCTCAGAAAATGATGGCTGTTACCACTGAAACCAGCACAGGGAAGATGCCTGCCCACCTTCGGGTGACAGGAGGCAAATGAAGGGCTGTGCTATGTAAAATGGAGGTCACAGTCTCCCTGAGCTTCTCATCACAATGTTATCAGCTAATACATATGAACAGCCCTCACTGCTCAAATTCTTGCTGAATGAACCTTGACTTCATTGCTTGTCTTTTCCCTCTTCCCTGCTTTACCTCATGCCTCAGTCAGCACTTCCCTCTAGGTTCTCCCCTTTCCCATGTGCCTGTGATGCCACAACACAGCTTCATTGTCTCCATGTGTTCATCCCTGCTTCTCTTCCCCTGATTTCCTTCCTCTCTCACACAGTTAGCACCTCCTCTGCAAAACTGTTTGAGAATGCATCACTCCTGCTTGCAGAAACCATGGCAGTGACTCTTGGCATAGCCGGGACTGCTTGCCTGAACCGCACTGTGCCTGATGCCACCAGCCCCTACCAAGCAGGTGCCATTTGCCATGGTGCAGCTTGACAGTGCCCTGCAGTATGCCCTGTTTTACATGCTCACCTTTGGCCAGAGCAGCAAACAGCTAGTATGTGAAACCCCTTACACAGCCTTCCTTAAGCTCATAATAAGATCTCTGAAAAACTCTTCACCTGAAAACCCAAATTCATTTGCTAGCCCAGCAGCCATGCCCTACACCTTCCACCAGTTCAGCAGAGCTGGCCCTCTCATCCTCCAAAACCAGCTGCAGAAGGAACAAGACATCTCCCAAGTGACTCAACTTAGGTGTGCATAGTAGCCTACTTACTGTATCCCCAGAAGCACTGCCACAGCTTCAAGGAAGTCTTGTTATGAAAGGTGTGGGAAGAGATAAAGATGAACCTGGTGAGTCACAGGAGCGTGCTGGGGGCAGAGCCTGCCTTCAGGACTTGGGAACACTCCCACCTCTAAGACCTGGTAATAGGCAAGAAAGAAGGAAGCAATTAATAATTAAAATAATTGTGGAATAAATTAGGATAATTAGTATCCTTATTTATCTTCCTAAGTGTTGTCCAAAACTGGAATCTTGACATTCCAGGCCCACCGGTTTTGTGTCATTCTATGAAGTGGAAGCATTCCCCATCCTTAGATGAGTTATAATCTGTGGCACTGTCTGCCTGGGCAAAGGCGCAGCTCCTCAGTTGGAAGGATGCATTGAACTGGGAAATGGGGGGAGCAAAGCAACGGCAAAACCATTTGGCACTCCAGATATTTTGCACCCCTGCCCAGTAGATGGGTCTGTCTTGGTGGGCCAGAGGTGCCAGTTCATAACCCACTGAGCCCATACATAGGGCAGACAGGCTGTGAAGCACTGAGCCTGCTGGGCTTGGCATGGGAGAGGAGGTACATGAGGTTTTGGGATCCACAAAGAGAAAGCTGTGGCAGAAGATGGAAGATGGGTAAAGATAACATAACTGTGCCTCCTGCACTCTCCTCCCAGAGACACACTAACCCCACAAGCCCACATCTGGGGTTGCTGCTGTGCTCCTGACAGTTACAGTTGGCCTAAATGAAGGGTTTTAACCTGTTTAGTCCTGCAGCTTAGCCACGTGGTTAGTAGTCTTGCATGCAGTTGTGTCTCTAGTTCTTAGGACTCCCAGGTGCTCTCCCACACCGGTATGGGGAGGGCCCAGGATTAGCTTGCACACTCAGATGTGCTTAGGCCAGTGTAACTTCATCTTACAGAAATGTAAGGTATTTCCTATGCAGAGTTTTATTGCCTAAACCAGTGTCATATCAAGGGTGCCCAATCAGCAGCTATTTGGGTGCAGGTAGCAAAAAGGAAGACACCCCTTCCCTCCCACTCCTGCCAGCTGAACCTGTGCCAGTCACCCAGGGATCTGTGAGGCTGCCAGCACCAACCAACCTGCCCTACACTGGCATGGGGTGGCTGGCAAAACCCCCAAAGCACAGCCAAAGTACACTAATGGGGTCCAGAGAATTGCAGGGATCTCTGCCATGTGTTAAGTAACAGGAAACAGAGAAAAAGATGTTAGAGAAATAATGTGGGGAGGCAGAAGAGAGAAAAAGTAAGGGCAAAATAGGTAGTACATCCCATGTTTGCATGAAGCAATCTAGAGCTCTCACTACCACAAAACAACACAGTATATGCCTACATAGTGATTTCAGATGGCTAAAGAACTTTAACAGGCAGCTTCTGAACTTGGCATACACAGTTCACATTGT